AATCAGCTGTTAACTAGATTCATACCACATTCAATTTTACGATTAAAAAAAGAAGCTCTCATTAAGTCAACTCCAAGAGTTTCAAAATTCATGAAGCAAAAATATGACACAAAAACAAACAAAAAAATTCACTGTGAGTCGAATATTTTAACAATTCTGTCAGTTATTGTTAACATATCCAACTATCACTATGAGGTTTTTGATAAAGAGAAGAAATAATCAGTAGAGACACTGAACAGAATTAAACAAGTTGACGTAAGTGGCCTTTAAAGAACACTGTAATAAAAGCAGAACATATATTATTTTCAAGTGAACATGAAAAATTAACCAAAATATACAATATTTGGTACCATAAAACAAATCTTAATAAATTTCAAAGGTACAAAATCATACGAATTATGTTCAATGATCACAAGGGAATTAAGTCAGAAAACAATAAGACTAATAAGATAGGTAGAAAAATAATCACATAACTGGAAATTAAGCAGAACAATTATTAAAAACCCATTGGTCAAAAAATAAATCATAAGGGAAATAATTTTCTAATTCCAACTAAATGGCATAGAAATAACAACATAGTAAAATTTTGGGGAAGCACCTAAAGTATTCCTAAAGACATTTATTATCTTGAAGGCCTATATTAGAAAAGAATGACACTGAAATAAATCATCTATTTTAAGAAGCCAGAAAAAGAGCAAATAACACAAGTAGAAGAAAGGAAATAAAAATAAAAGCAGAGATTAATAAAATAGTAAAAAATTGAAAAATATTCAATTCTATTGTTGCTCTTGGGAGCTCTGATGGTGTAGTGCCAAAGGCATTTAACTGATAATCGGAAGGCTGGTGGTTCAAATCCATCAGTCATTCCTTGGAAGGAAGACCGGGTAACTACTTCTGTAGAGATTCTGTCTCAGAAACCAAGGAGGGGTCGCTATGAGTCACATCAACTCGACAGCAGTGAGGTTTATTTTTTTTGTTAATTATTTCTTTGAAAATATTAATAAAATTAATAAAGCCCCTAGCAAGACTTGCAAAGAACAAAAGAAAGAAAACAAATTGTCAATATCAGAATTGTAAGAGGAGGTATCATTTTAGATACTAACCCAAACCCACTAATGTCCAGTCAATTCCAACTCACTGAGTGCCACTATAGGACAGAATATATCTGCCCCATGGGTTTCCTAGGGTTTCAAAGGCTGTGAATCTTCACATAAGCAGACTGCTACATCTTTTTACCACAAACCAACTGCTGGGTTTGAACAACTAACCTTTCATTTAGCAGCTGAGCATTTTAGAAAATTATTCCACCAAGCCTCCTATTTTAGATACTACAGACATTAAAATAATTTAAAAGGGGGATATTAAGAAAAATTTTATCCCATTGAATTGGATAGCTATGTCCAACACAACTGAGGTCTTCAGAGCTTAAAAGTAGCCATTTAAGATGCAACAATTCGTCTCTCTTTGGAGCAAAGAAGAATGAAAAAAAACAAAGACATATGGAAACAATTCAAGGGACTAGTGGACCACACAAAACTGAGCTTACACGACGCAGAGACCAGAAGAACTAGGTGGTGCCTGGCTACCACTGTCAACCACTCCAAAATGGATCAAAACACGAGATCCCAGATCAAGTGGGAGAAAAATGTAGAACAAACTCAAAATTATAAAATAAGACCAGGCTTACTGGTCTGATAGATACTGGTGAAACCCCCAAGACTACAGCTCTTAGTCACCCTTCAGGCCTGGAATTTATGCCTTGGAAGATATAAATTAATGTCTTGAAAGGCATAAATTAATAAATCTGTCTCACAAAGAAACATAAATTCTGAATAGCCTTAAAGTCAGAAATAAAAACTTTTCCACAAAGACTACTACTATAGGCCCAGGAGATTTTATTCGTAAATTCTATCAAACACTTAAAGAAGAAAATAAACCAACCTTACACAAACACTAGAAAAAGAAAAAAAAGAGGACGCACAATGGCCTCAAAAATAAACAGAAGTGGCAGGCACTGTAGGCTTATTCCTCCAAAGCTTTTATGAAAAAGCTGGGCATTTGAATATAAATATCTAAATGCACAAATACTTTCTCTTTTTATTACTCCATACTGATAATATCACATATTTGTGATACATTATAGCATTATTCCTTACACAAAGAAATTATTTGCAGGGTGACAATATGAATAATATTTACTGAAAATAAAACTAGGTTGTGAGTGACTATTAATTTGAGAGGAGCTCTGGTAGCGTAGTCCCTAAGGCACTTGACTGGTAACCAGAAGTCTGGTGGTTCAAACCCACCAGCCACTGCTCGGAAGAAAGGTTGGGCAATCTACTTCCATAGTGATACTGCCTCAGAAACTCAAGAAGGGGTCACTCTGAGTCAGGTCCGACTCGACGGCACATAACAACAAATTAATTTGAGAGTACTCTATAACATGTATAGGAACTATTTAGCATTTTATCTACTAAATCCATAAATAGATGCTACTGTACTGTCTAGGCAAAAGGGTATATACCCATGACCATATATAAGTTTGGCAGAAGATACTTCTACATACATATTTGTTATGTGCTATACAAGAAGGCCCGTATACATGATAGCGCTAACAGGGCAAAGTTATGATCTCTTCTTAATCACAAACACCAGAGGGAGTGAGTCACTGTGCCCAGGGGCCTGCGACCATGGTCACAGGGGACATCAAGCTCAATTGGCATAACAAACTACGCAAAAACATTGTTCTACAACCTACTTTGGTGAGTAGCGACTGAGGTCTTAAAAGCTTTCAAGAGGCCATCTAAGATGCAACAATTGGTCTCTCCTTGTCTGGAGCAAAGAAGAATGAAGAAAACCAAAGGCACGTGGAAACAATTAATCCAGGGGACTAGTGGACCATGTGAAGCAGAGCTACAGGACCCTGAGACCAGAACTAGGTGGTACCTGGCTACCACTGTCAACCACTCAGGAATGGATGATAATATGAGATCCAGGATCAAGTGGGAGGAAAATGCAGAACAAAACTCAAAATCATAAAAAAGAACAGGATTACTGGTCTGTTAGAGACTATGGCCCCCATTACCCTTCAGGCCTGGAACTGAACTCGCTTCTAGGGCTTCCAGTCAAATAATAGACAGGTAGATGTGTTAGGTGAACATTTACACCAGGTAGGTATACTCCTTAGAACAATCAACATGGGAGACCAGAAGGCCAGTATTTGCACAGGAAAATAACTCAGAGGGCAGGAATGCATAGGGAAGAAGGACACAAGGAAAGGGTAAGCAGAGGAAGGAAGTGGGAAGAGAGGTGTTTGATTATGGGGACTGCAGTCAATGTCATGAAACAAAATGTGTATGAACTGCTATATGGAAAATGAAATTGCTCTGTAAACTTTCACCCAAATCACAATAAAGTAAATACAAGAGTAGCCTCTGACTTTTACTACTGCTATAGTTTACATTTTTCAATAGCAAGATCCCTGAATAATAATACTAAGATACTATTTGCTTTTTCCACCTGTAATCACTCATGGATATAGTTTTTCTTGCAGTTCCATGACAATATGTAGTATCACAGAAGCAAAAACGACACCTTCAGCTGGCTTCTTCTAAGCTAACAATTAAGGACATTTAAAAATGCAAGACGACAACACTCATCTATTTTTGTGTTTGTTTTGGAAAATTTAATTTTCATTAAAATGTTTTTTATGTTAACACATAAATATGGATTCATAACTGTTATTTAAAAGGTATAAATAGATAGATATCTTTTAAAGTCTCAGTTTTAAATTTTAATGTCAGATATTGATAAACAGAACTCAGTAACAAAAGTGCTTATGGTCCACAAAAAATTTAATAACTAAAGCAGTTCCATTACCAAACAAATTGAGAACTGCTACAATACAGTAATCAGTAATTTCTAAGTAGCCTATTTGGGGAGAATAATCCTGATTCCTAAAATGAAAAACATCATTTATTTTAAAAGGATTATTGTATGTTCATGTTGAATTGTTTCTTTTGTTTCTTTGCATGATGATGCTCTATGTTATCCCTCCTTATGCTTCTTACATTAAGGTCACCAATAAAGTAAGGTGCTAAGGCTACTAGAACATAAGACACACCAATGATTCTGCTTTTCTTCTTCCTTTCATAATGCACCTCTCATATTACTGAACAATAAAGTAGTTTTCCATGTCCCTCACCAAACTTTCAAAATTAAATATTCCCTACATAAACCAAAAACCAACCAAACCCACTGCCATCAAGTCAATTCCAACTCATAGCCATCCCCGTTCCAAGGCTGTAAATCTTTATGGAAGTAGATTGCCTCATCTTCCTCCTGTGGAGCAGCTGGTGGGTTTGAACCGCTAACCTTATGGTTAGCAGCCAAATGTCATATCCACTAGTCACATACTAAACAAGTTAATCTCTGCCCCTCCTCTACAAATTCCCCTTCTATTGATCTATTCTTTTCACCATTGTGCTTATAATCTTATAATGCACTATATAATTTACTTATTTATTACATTTATTTTCTGTTCCCTCCCTCAAAATAATGTAAGGTAAATAAGGCTAGGAATATTTTGTTGTTGTTGTTGTTGTTTTCACCTAGAACAGTGTCTAACACAACACAGGCACAAAATAAATATGTGTTGAATGGATTAATGGACATATTACTGAAGTAAAATATAAATTCTAACATATCATTAAAGGAAAAGAAACAGTGCTTACCAAATGAACACCTGCAAATAGCCAGTAGCTACAAGTGCTATATACACAGGAGGGAAACACTACTGGAAGGGAAAAACTCCAAATAACTGCAAGATAATGAAGAACTCTCAGACTAAAAACAGTTTTCTCTTCTGGATCCAAAGGGGAAGACAGATAAGGAGATAAGAGACAACAAACAAGGAAAAGAAGTAGATAGAAAATGGCTTTGTTTATTTCCAACTGGAGGATTCAATGAGCATAAATAGAGTAAGATCAACCAACACATACCTCTCTTCTCCCGATGTATTTCTTCCAGAAGTTGCTCCTGCCTTTCTATCTGTTCAAAGAGATACTGGAGCTCAGATTCCTTGTTTTCCGTCAGATCCTTGAGCTGCTGTCTGCACAGTGTCAGCTGGTGTCGCAGATTTTTCTCTCTGTTTTCTCTCTCTTTCAGCTCCTCACAGAGCCACTGAAGTTTAGTCTAAATAGCAACATTTATATGCAATTAAATTTTTAAAAAAACCCAAAAGAAAAAAGTAGCACCACAAAACATTAGAAAATGAAGCAACATCATGATAATATGAACAAATATAGACAACTGTAGCAAATTTAATGAAAACAAAACAAAAAAATAATAATACAATAATGTTGCCATTTGTATATTGATATGTATCAGTTAAAAGCTGGTGCAGTATCAAACCATAATTTTATTGGGTTTTGAAAAAAAAATTGTCATATTCTATCATCTTTGGAAAGGCAATAGCAAAGAAAATTCTGGTTACTAAAATTCCAAGTCTGCATTCTTCTGTGTTATCGTTATTAGGTGCCATCTAGTTATTTCTACTCACAGCAACGCTACACAGAATGAAATATTACAGTTTTGTGCCATCCTACTAATCCTTGCTAGGCTTCAGTCCATCACTACAGCCACTTTGTCAAAACATCTCACTTAGTGTCTTCCCCTTTTCCACTGACCCTGTATTTTACCAAGTATGATATCCTTCTCCTAGGACCAGTTCCTTCTGATAACATGATCAAGGTACAAGAGATGAAATCTGGCCATTCTCACTTCCAAGGAGCATTCCAGCAGTACTTCTTCCAAAAAAAAAGACATATTCGTCCTTCTGGCAGGCCATGGTATTTTCAATATTCTTCCCCAACACCACAATTGAAATCCATCAACTCATCTTTGGTCTTCTTTATTCATTATCCAGGTTTCACATATGCATGAGGGGACTGAAAATACTATGGCTTGAGTCAGGCACATCCAGGTCTTCAAAGTGGCATCTTTTATTCTTCAACATATGCAGCAGATTTGCCCTGCACAATATGTCATTTTATTTCTTGTCTGTAGCTAGCATGGGCATTGATTGTAGACCCAAGTAAAATGAAATCCTTGACAACTTTAATCTTCTCTCCATTTACAGTTATGTTTCCTATTGGTCCAGTTGCAAGGATTTTTGTTTTCCTCATGTTGATGTGTAATCCATACTGAAGGCTGTAGCCTTTGATCTCCATCAGTAAGTGCTTCAAGTTTTCTGTGTTTCTTGTTGTTGGTGTTGTTAGGTGTTGCCAAGTAGGTTCCCTGTCAATATACTGCTGCAACTATTTTTTAATTATCTTCAGCAAAAATTTTACTTGTGTATGATATACTGCTCAATAATTTCCACATTCTGTTGGATCAGCTTTCCTTGGAATAGGCACAAATATTTCTTTCTTCCACTCAGCTGGCCAGGCGGCTCTCTTCCAAATTTCTGCACATAAATGAGTAAGCACCTTTCGTGCTGCATCTGTGTGTTTAAACATTCCAGTGAGTAGTCCTCCAATGCCTAGAGACTTTTCACCGGTTCCTTCAATGCAGCCTCAACCTCTTCTTTCCATGCCATTGGTTCTTGATCATAAGCTACTTCCCGAAATAGCTGCACATAGACCAACTCTTTCTGATATTGTATTCCTTCCACCTTCTTTTGATGCTTCCTGCATCGTTCAATATTTTGCCCATAGAATCCTTCAATATCACAACTAAGGCTTGAATTTTTTCTTCAGTTCTTTCAGCTTGAGAAATGCTGAGCTTGTTTTTTCCTTTCGGCTTTCTAACTCCAGGTCTTTGCACATTTCATTATAATACTTTACTTTGTCTTCCCAGGCTGCTCTTTGAAATCATTTGTTCAGTTCTTTTATCTCATAATTTCTTCCATTTGCTTTAGCTCCTCTCCACTCAAAAGCAAGTTTCAGAATCTCTTCTGACATCCATTTTGGTCTTTTATTCCTTTCCTGTCTTTTTAATGACCTTTAGCTTTCTTCATCTGTGATGTTCTTGATGTCATCCCACAATGCATCTGGTGTTCACTGCATCTAAGCTATTCTTCAGATGGTCTCTAATTCAGGTGGCATACAATCATGGTCCTATTTTGACTCTCATGGACTTAATTTTCTTTAGCTTCAACATGAACTTACATATGTACAACTGATGGTTTATTCAATACTCAGATCCTGGTCTTGTTTTCACTAATGATATTCAGCTTCTCCAACCACCTCTATTCACAAAAGTAGTCACTTTGACTCCTGTGTATTTCATCTCACTCACTGCCGTCGAGTTGATTGTGACTCATATTGACTCCTCCTTGGGATTCTGAGACAATATCTCTATGGACATAGATTGCCCAGTTTTTCTTCCAAGGAGTGGCTGGTGGGTTTTAACCACCAGCCTTCTGGTTAGCAGTCAGATGCCTTAGGCACTACACCAGCAGAGTGTATTCCACCTGGTGAGGTACAAATGTATAGCTGCCACTTATATTGTTGAGGAAAAGCATTTGGAATCAGTAAGTTGTTGCTTTTGCAAAATTCTATCACACAATCTCCAGCATCATTTCTACCACCAAAGCCATATTTTCCAACTACCAATTATTCTTCTTTGTTTCCAACTTTCACATTCCAATCAGCAATAATTATCAATACATCTTCCTTTTTTTTAATTTATCAATACATCTTGATTGCATGTTTGGTCAATTTCAGACTACTGAAATTGGTAAATTCTTCAATTTCTTCATCTTTGCCTTCAGTAATGGGTGCACAGATTTGAATAATAGTAGTATTAACTGGTCTTCCTTATAGTCATACGAGTATTATCCTGTCACGGGCAGCACTGTACTTAAGGACAGATCTTGCACTGTTCTTTTTGACAGTGAATGCAACACCATTCCTCTTCCATTTGTCATTCAAAGCATAGTAGATCATGACTGTCTGATTCCAAATGGCCAATACCAGCTACTTCAGCTCACTAATGCTTAGGATATTGATCTTTATCCATCACATTTCATTTTTGACATCTTCCAATTTTCCTATATTCTTGCTTCATACATTCCATGTTCATATTACTAATAAATATTTGCAGCTGCTTCTTCCCATTTTGAGTTGTGCCCCATCTACAAATGAAGGTCCGGAAAGCTTTATTACATCCACCTCATTAAGAATGATTCCACTCTGGAAAGGCAGCTCTTCTCTAGTAGTATTTTGACTGCCTTCCAACCTGAGGGGTTCATCTTCTGGCACTACATCAGACAGTGGTTCACTTCTATTCATAAAGTTTTCCAGGAATATATCAGACAGTGTTTCACTGCTATACATAAGGTTTTCAGTGGCCAGTTTCTTCAGAAGTAGATGGCTCCATCCTTCTTCCTAGTGTTTCTTTGCTAGAAGCTCCATTGAAACCTATATACCATAAGTAACCCTGATGGTATTTGAAACACCAGTGGCAAAGCCTCCAGCATCACAGTAACATGCAAGCCACCACAGTGAGACAAACGGACAGACAAGTGGTCTGTGTTGCTAGGAACTTTAAAATGAGAGCGCATTATGTATTCAATGAATTACACTATATAATTTCATTAGTGCATTGTGATATAGGTCAGTTGGAAAATGATTCTGGAGCATTAGTCCTTAAGTCATTAATATATTTGATATTCACTTGGCAAAACAAAAGGAAGACAACAATGCTTCTATATTAAAACCATAATCTGAACTGACAGGCTATATCTTTTGTTCACCTTACCAAATTTTGTCATTTCTTCATGAAGAATAAATAAATAAACTGAAAACCTCAGTTAATTATCATATTGTTGTTGGTACCATGTGAGAGAAAAAGGAAACGGTTAGATCTAGACTTTCTGAAAAATAAAAATTTCCAACCAAGTTGTTTTGCTGTTTATATGGCACCTCAAACACATACACATTTTTATCCTTAGATATTAAAGAATTTAACTAAACCTTCAAGATATTCTTCAAGGAGAAGACTAAAGAATAACATAGAGTCTGCAAAACACCGCATAACATGGACGACCCTGGAGGGCATTATGCTGAGTGAAGTCAGTCACAGAAGGACAAATATTGTATTAGTGTACTAATAAAGAGGTAGTAAATCTTTATGGAAGGAGTAAATCTTTATGGAAGGAGATTGCCTACTGTAAAAAGTCAAGGAAAGTTTATACATAGAAGGAAACTTACTTTGTTGATTATGAGGGATGGGAGGGAGGCTAAATTCCTAGATAGGTTGGGGGGAAAATAAAAAAGATATGTCTATATATCTATATATAGAAACCAAAGATTATTAGTGGTTACCAGGGGTAGGAGGAAGTGGAGAAAGGGGAAGTTTTTGTTTGTGGGGTATTGAGTTAATGCTAATGGTAACAGAATATTTTGGAAAAGGATAGCAATAACGGTGGCACAACATGAAAAATGTTATCCATGTCCCTGAGCTGCAAATGGTGAAGTTGTTATGTTGATGAATATTGACAGTACATAAACATACACACTCCACTCTAGTAGAGTAAGATCCTATATATTCAATGACATGAAAAATGAGTTGTAGTTAAGTTCCTGTGAAAAGATATCACCTTGAATTTAGTAAAAAAACAGATACAAGAAACGATTATCTTGAAAATGAAAAATTTCCTAAGTCACTATACTAAAAATCAAGGAGCTCTGGTAGCACAGTGCCTAAGGCATCTGACTGCTAATCAGAAGATGGGTGGTTCAAACCCACCAGCCACTCCGCAGAAGCAAGACTGGGCAATCTCCTTCCATAAAGATTTACTACCTTGGAAACCGAATGGGGGTTGCTATGAGTTGGAATCAACTCGACAGCAGTGGGTTTGGTATTTTTTGGTTTACCAAAAACTAACACCCATCTGTCAGCTTGTCATGTGGTGACAGTTTGCATGTTGCTATGATGCTGGAAGTTATGTCCCTAGTATTTCAAATACCAGCAGGGTGACCTATGGTGGACAGGTTTCAGAGCAGCTTCTAGACAATGAAAGGCCTGGTGATCTCCTTCCAAAACTGAGCCAGTGAAAACTTTATGGATCACAACAGAGCATAGTCTGACTCCCCTGCTTTGAACAAATCACAAGGAGAAACTGCTAAAGGAGGACATCATGTTTGGTGAAGTAGAGAGCCAACCAGGATGAAGGAGAAAGAAATCCA